AAGAAACTAAATCAAAAAGGGCTTGCAGCTATGGCTCAAGTAATATAGCACTTGCATGAGGCTCTGAGTTCAAATCCCAGAATTGGCCAAAAAAGAAAATCTTTCCATTTCAGAGTGCTGAATTATTTCAAGTAATTACATAAGAATAAATATCCTCTTATATAAACTCAGAGACTAGAAAAATAGAAAACATTTCCCAAATCAACTGGGTACCAGCATAATCTGAATAGGTGATGGTAACCAAACTTGAATAGCACATTCTAAGAAGGGAAAATGATAAGCCAATCTCTTTTATAAACATACATGGAAATTTTCTTTTTAAAAAATAAGCAAACAAAATCTGGATATGGAAATAATCAACTATGAGATAATGAGGCTTATGTTGGGAATGTGATGTAGTTAAATATTTGATATTTGACCAGTGTAATTCACCATGTCAACAGATAAAGGGGACAGAACCACAGTTTTCCTAACAGGTACAGAGAAATTCATTCAATAAAATTCAGTACACATTAATAGTAAAGTTGCCAGCAAATGACAATGGGAAAGAATTTTCAGAGTGTCTTTAAAAACCTAAAAACATAAACACTTGGTAAATTATGGAGATCAAGAACGAGACAAGGATGCCTGCCCTTACTACTTCAATTCAGTTTTACTATCAATTCCAACCAGTGGAAGAAGACAAAGAAGAAATAAAAGGCATGATGGTTGGAAGGGAAGTAATAAGGTGGTCTTTTCAAAAAAGACACAGTTAGGACTGGGGATGTGGCTCAAGTGTGCCGGGAAAGCACCTGCCTGGATTCAAACCTCAGTACTGTAAAAAAAAAAAAAAAGAAAAAAAACCCAACATATATACATAAAATCATGAAGAATACGGTTGGTAGAGTGGCTCAAATTGTACAGCGCCTGAGTGCTCTTGAGTTCAAACCCCATTACTGAAAAGAGAAAAAAATCATCACAAAACTACAATCTATCAGAATTAATAAATGAAATTAGGAGTGCCACTAGATACAAAGCCATCATACACTTAGGAGCTGTTTTTCTATATAGTAACTTACAATGGTGAATAGAAACAAATCAAATAAAATATTCATAATATGTTTACACTGAAAACTGTAAAACATTACTGAGAAAAACAAATATGATCTAAATAAATAGAAGAATACAGAATACTCAGTAGTTGGAAGACTCAGTGATGGAAATACATTCCTTCCCCCAATCAACAAGAAAATCCTAAACAAAATTTCAGCAGGTTTCTTTCTGAAATTTGATCAGCTGAGTATATATTTTATATGGAAATACAAGGGAAAACAACAATCATAGCAACCTTGAAAGCAAAAATAAAACTGGAGATACCATGCCAACAGCATGATCCATGGAAGAAAAAAATGATAAGCTAGATGTCATTAAAATTAGAATTTTCTGCTCTGCAAAAGATTCTACCATGAAAACCCAGTTGCAACGGGGTAGGAAATGCCTGCAATCTCAGCTCTTAGTAGGCTGAAGCAGGAGGATCATGAGTTTGGGGCCAGTCAAGGCTACATAGTGAAACAGTCTGAAACCCCCCCTCATAAGAACTATTGAAAGAGTGACAATATAAGCCACAGACTAGGAGAAAATATTTTCAAAAGACATATTTGATAAAGAACAGTGATCCAAAATACAGAAACATTACTAAAACTCAAAATGAGAGTAAAAATGGGCCAAAGACCTGCACAAACACCTTACCAAACAAAATATGAAGATGGCAAATAAGACTGGGAGTCAGTGGCTCATGACTGTAATCCTAGCTAGCTGGAAAGCTGAGATAGGAGGATTGAGATTCAAGGTTAGCCTGGAGGGAAAAGTAAAGTCCCATCTCAACCAATAGTGGGGCATGGTGGTGTGCACTTGATATTCCAAACTATGTAGTAGACTAAGAGCTTGAGGATCAAGGTTCCAGGCCAGGTCTGGCAAAAAAGCTTCCAAGACTGCATCTCAACAGAAAAAAGCTAGGTGTGGTTGTACCTATTTGTCATCCCAGCCAGGGTACAAAGCATAAAATAGGAAGAATGTGGTCCAGGCTGGATTGGGCATAAAGGGTGAACATAACTCAAAAATAACCAGAGCAAAAGGACTGGAGACATGGCACAAGTGGTAGAGCACTTGCTTAGCAACTCAATGTCCTGAGTTAAAACCCCAGTACTGCCAAAAACATGGCAAGTAAGCATATGAATGGATACTGCACTCACATGTCATTAGTGAAATGCAAGTTTAATTGACAGTGAAATACCATTACACAACTATTAGAATGGCTACTCTAGAACGTTGACAATATCGAATGCGGAGGACAGTATGGATAACAGGAATTCTTATTCATTGCTGGCGTAAATGAAAAATGTTACAGCCACTCTGGAAGACAGTGGCAGATTCTTGCAAAACTAAGCACACTCTTACTATGTGATCCAGCAATCATGCTTCTTACTATTTATCCAAAGATGTTTAATATTTATGTACATGTGAAAACTTGGGACAGGGATGTTTCAAAACTTGGAATCAATCAAGTTGTCCTTTGGCAGGTGAGTGGATAAATAATTGTGATACAACCAGAGAATGAAATGTTATTATCAAACACCAGAAATAAATGGGCTATCAACCTATAAAAAAGCATAGTAGTAAGTGAAGGCCAATTTAAAAGACTCCATACTGTGTGATTCTGGATATATAACATTTTGGAAAAGGTAAAATGTTATATATTACATATCTATAGAGATAGATAGATAGATAGATAGATAGATAGATAGATAGATAGATATAGATATATATAAAAGAGTGATTTCCAAGGGTTCTAGGGAAAGGGAGAGATAAGTACAGCATAGGGATTTTTTAAAGCAGTGAAACTATTCTGTGCAGTGCTATAAAGGTTGATGCATATCTTCATAAATTTGTCAAAACCCATAGAACGTACACACCAAGAGGAAATCTTAATTTAAACTGTGGATTCAGTGGCAAAGATGTGTTTAAGTAGGTTCAGCAGTTGTAAGAAATATACCACTCTGGCAGGAGATAGTGATAGTGGGGAAGGTTATGGGATATCTCTGATCAGTTTCCCATGAATCTAAAGGTGATCTAAAAAATGGTCAATTTTTTAAAATGGAGAACGTACCTTCAGGTAATAAAACCTATAATAAAGCTATAGTAATTGAAACAATGTGTTACATGATTGACAGAGAGATTAAATAGAATATTTTGATCATCTAATTTATGACAATTATGATATCTTAGAAATGGGAACTGGATCATCTTTTCAATAGAAAGTGTAAAATCACTTGGAAAAGATGGACTTCAATATTATTCATTTGAAAAGATTAATTTTATGTTGATTGTAGCTTTCAATGTGAAAAGTTAAGTGATTAATCTGTCAAAAGCATATCATATAAGAATACCTTGTAAGGATTTTAATAAACACAAAAAGTGTTGACCAAAAGTGAAAATACTGACAAATTAGACCTAATTGAAATTAATAAATTTTATTGATCAAAGACACTATAATAGAAATAAAATATAAGGCACAGAATAGGAGGTATTTTATAATTCATACCTCTAAAAGGGGTCTTATACTCAGAATATAGAAGACTTCTGCAGACCAACAAGCAAATGGGCAAATGATCAATTATAAAAATGTATAAAAGTTTAGAACAAGCAATTCACAGGAATGTATGCTAATAGCCAATGAACATGAAAACATTCACATTTCACTAAATACCAGGGAAATACTTATGGAAACTGCATCATGATATGGCTAAAGAGTGGCTAAAATTTAAAAAACAACATCAAATGTTGGCAAGGATATGGAGCAACTGGAACTCTCATGTTTTGCTGGTATTAGTACAACTATTTTGAAAATAATTCATACTATCTGCTAAAGCTAAATCTATTTGCACGTGTTAATCCACAGCAATTCAACACCTCTGAATGTATTCAACATAAAATACGTACATAAGATCACCAAAACACATGTACAATAGGATTCGTAGCAGTAGTATTCAACAAAGTCAAACGGGAAAAACCTCGGTGTTCAGCAGGAAGAGAATTATGAACAGATCACGGTACGTTCATGCGGTAGAATAATACAAAGCAATGAAAGTAAAACAAATTAGAACAATAGGCTGCAGCTCACTTTCGGAAACATAAGGTTAAGTGAAAGAAGACACACAACAAAGGTAAAAGCAATTGCATGGGAATAGAAGAATAGTACTTACCTTTAAGGGGAGAAGAGTAAACAGAAAATGACAAAGGGGAATGTTCTGGATCTTGGTACCTTTTCTATTTCATATAATTTCTCCTTGTAGCAGTGTATTGAGGTTATGAAAATTCACTGACTTAGTTGTTCACTTAGGATTTGTATGTGTCCTTTTCTGGAAATATGCTATACTTCAAACCAAAAGTTACTTGTGTAAAACTTAAAACTTTTTAGATATCCATTATTATCATTTCTAGAACATACTCAAATTCTAAACCAACAGAAGAAAGTTTAGTGATATATTCACAAAGTACTCTTATGGAGAAGATTAATGTACCATTTTGATTGCTATAAACAATATTCCTTCAACTAAAAATGAATTCTTAAGACATATGTTTAAACTGCCAATACCTAAAAGCAGGAGTTACAATCCAGGGTAGTTCTGTGACTTAAAAGGATAATGATACACATCCAAGTTACAATTTGTAATGAAGTGGCTAAAACTACGTGCAATAGTAAATATGTTCACTTGGTGGCGCTGCAGGCTTAGACTGTGAATAAATGGCTCTGCAGAAAAACTGACGCCATTATGCTGGCAATTAGAACAACCACTGCTCCCTAAAGGAAGGAAGCATTTTAGGTAAGATCTAGGGGAAAGATCTTCAGAAAAGGCATAGTCCACGGAGCAATTCGGTGATAACATTTAATTCAAGGACCTTTAACAAAATCATTTGGGTGGATTGAATACGGATTGCACTTTCTGGACCGGTTCTGAACTATGGAGACTGCGCTAGCAAAGACGCCACAGACAAGGCAAGTTATTTTTCTTGCTATTCTATTGTTTTGGTGGGAGGCTGGCTCTGAGGCAATTAGATATTCCATGCCAGAAGAAACAGATAGTGGCTATCTTGTGGCCAACCTGGCAAAAGATCTGGGGCTCAGGGTGGGGGAGCTGGCCCCTCGCGGCGCGCGAATCCATTACAAAGGGAACAAAGAGCTCTTGCAGCTTGATGTAAAGACCGGCAATTTGCTTCTGTATGAAAAACTAGACCGGGAGGACCTGTGCGGGGTGACAGAACCCTGTCTACTGCACTTCCAGCTCTTACTGGGAAACCCCATGCAGTTTTTTCAAGTTGATGTGCAGCTCACGGATGTAAATGACCATTCTCCAGCGTTCCTAGAGAAGGAAATGCTCCTAAAAATCCCAGAGAGCGCCCAGCCAAGGACCGCGTTTCCTCTGAAAACAGCTCAGGACCTTGACATAGGCAGCAACACTGTGCAGAACTACACAATCAGTCCCAGCTTCGATTTTCATGTTGTCACTCATAATCGCGGAGATGGCAGAAAATACCCAGAGCTGGTGCTGGACAGAGCGCTGGACCGGGAGGAGCAGCCCGAGCTCAGTCTACTGCTCACAGCGCTGGACGGTGGGGCCCCGCCTAGGTCTGGGACCACCACAGTCCGCATTGAAGTCGTGGACATCAACGATAACACCCCCGAATTTTTACAGTCGCTCTATGAGGTACAGACTCCTGAGAACAGCCCCCTCAGCTCTCTAGTTGTCACTGTCTCTGCCCGAGATTTAGATGCAGGAACTTATGGGAGTGTTTCCTATGCTCTGTTTCAAAGTGATGACACTTCTCAACCATTTGTAATAGACGAAGTAACAGGAGAAGTGCGCCTGAAGAGGGCATTGGATTTCGAGGTTACTCCATATTATAACATGGAAATTGTAGCCACAGATGGTGGAGGTCTTTCAGGAAAATGCACAGTTGCTATAGAGGTGCTGGATGTCAATGACAATGTTCCTGAATTGACCATGTCGACACTCACCAGCTCCATCCCAGAAAACTCCCCAGAGACTGTAGTTGCCATTTTCAGTGTTTCTGATTTAGATTCTGGAGACAATGGTAGGGCCCTTTGCTCTATCCACAGAGATCTCCCTTTCCTCTTAAAGCCCACATTCAAGAACTTTTACACCCTGGTGACAGAAAGGCCATTGGACAGAGAGAGCAGATCTCAATACAACATCACCATCACGGTTTCAGACATGGGGACTCCCAGGCTGCAAACGGAGCACAGCATAAGCGTGCAGGTGTCCGACGTGAACGACAACGCCCCGGCCTTCACGCACACCTCCTACACTCTGCGGGTGCGCGAGAACAACAGCCCCGGCCTGCACATAGGCAGCGTGAGCGCCACAGACAGAGACGCGGGCACCAACGCCCAGCTCACCTACTCGCTGCTGCCGCCCCCAGAGCCGCACCTGGCCCTCGCCTCGCTCGTGGCCATCGACGCGGACAGCGGGCAGCTGTTCGCCCTGAGGCCGCTGGACTACGAGGTCCTGCAGGCCTTGGAGTTCCGCGTGGGCGCCGCCGACCGCGGCTCGCCCGCGCTCAGCAGCCAGGCGCTCGTGCGCCTGCTGGTGCTGGACGCCAATGACAACTCGCCCTTCGTGCTGTACCCGATGCAGAACGCCTCTGCGCCCTGCACCGAGCTGCTGCCCAGGGCGGCCGAGCCGGGGTACCTGCTCACCAAGGTGGTGGCGGTGGACGGCGACTCGGGCCAGAACGCATGGCTGTCCTACCAGCTGCTCAAGGCCACGGAGCCCGGGCTCTTCAGCGTGTGGCCGCACAATGGCGAGGTGCGCACCGCCAGGCTGCTGAGCGAGCGCGACGCGCCCAAGCACAGGCTGCTGGTGCTGGTCAGGGACAATGGCGAGCCGCCGCTGTCTGCCAGCGTCACGCTGCACGTGCTGCTGGTGGATGGCTTCTCCCAGCCCTACCTGCCGCTGCCAGAAGCGGCGGCCGAGCAGGGACGGGGCGACGCGCTCACCTTGCACCTGGTGGTGGCCTTGGCGTCGGTGTCGTCGCTCTTCCTCTTGTGTGTGCTGGTGTTCGTGGCGGTGAGGCTGTGCAGGAGGAGCAGGGCGGCCTGTCTGTCTGGCTGTGCGGTGCCCGAAGGTCACTTTCCGGGCCACGTGGTGGACTTCAGCGGTGCGGGGACCCTGTCCCACAGCCACCAGTATGAGGTGTGTCTGATGGGAGGTACTGGGACAAATGAGTTCAAATTTCTTAAGCCGATACTGCCCAACTTTCCACCCCAGGGCTCTGGTGAAGAAACAGCAGAAAATGCTCTCTTTAAGAATAGTTTCGGATTGCATTAGAGATTGGTTACCATGCAATGCTTTCCCCGTGTATCATCAACTAATCCAGTCATAGCATGAGTGCTTGCAGATTTTGCTCTGGTTTTCCTTTAATAGTTTTGTCCACTGGATTTCTCTCTAATTCTGAAGACTTAATTCTACTTCATTGGTTTCCTTGCACTTTGTCCTTCCTGTGCCATGCATGCTGTTGCTTTTTCTGAGATTTTTCCTTTCTCATTGGTATTTATTGTCTTAATAAAATCAAATATTAGTTATATGTTCTATGTATTCTACCCATTTCATTTCCTCACAAATAAGTATATTTGATGCTTTACTAAAAAATTTTTTGCATCATTTTTCAGTTTCAAAGGAATGCATACATTTTTATAACAAATCAAACATGTGAGAAAACATGATAAAATGCAACAATATTCTGTCTACTGTTCTTCTCCAGCCCTTGTTCCCATTGGCATAAAAATTTTAAGCAAACTTTTTCATTGAATTTTAGCATACATAAAGAAAATCTTTAATGCCCAGCTCAGTGTATTTTCACAATTAAGAATCTGTCATACTAACAATATCATGGGTAAATGAAACATTACTAGTACTCCAGGGGACACACAAATTACTCTGTATAATCACTATGGGCTCAAATAAAGCAAACAATACTATAGTTTTTGTTTTGCTCATTTTGTTTTGTTGTGTTGCAGTGCTGGAAATCAGTCCAAGTCTTGGGCATACTCTGCAAGCACTGTACTACTGAGCTACATCCCAAGCTCTTTAGAGTTTAATTTTACCTCCTTTAAAGTTATGTAAATGGAATTGTGTAGTATCAACTGCTTTCTGCTCAGCTTCTATCACTCAACATTAAGAAATTTTCCACAGTAGTGCCTTTTAATTTTACTTCTTTCATTTTAATTGCTGTGCAGTAATCTCCTGGATTTATCTTATCATTCGTGGTGTAGTTAATGCTAGATTTGACTATTATAAATACTGCTATGAACATTCCTGTACACATTTTTGGTATATGATATGTTTGTGCATTTCTGTTGAATATTTACCTGGAGAGTAGAATTGCTGTTTCTTTAGTAAGGTATAAATAAACTTTTAGTAGATTTTCAAGGTTGGTTTAAATTTACACTGCTATCAGCAATATCTGGATATACAAGCTTGAGAAGCACTTTTAAACCTTTTACAATCTCTTTTTATACTTATTTGCTTTTGGTTAAAGAATGTATTTGTATCTGTTATCTGATTAATTGGTCCCCCTCTCTCAGATACACCTGTTCAAGCCCTAACTCCTATTACCATAGAATGTATTATTTGAGATAGGTCTTTTAAAGAGATAATTTTAAATTGTTGGGATAGACTCTATTACAATATTACTGATATCTTCAAAGAAAAAGATTATGACATGTGAAGAGAGGGAGAGGGAGAGAGAGAGAGAGAGAGAGAGAGAGAGAGAGAGAGAGAGTCAGAATAAAAGCATTCCTGCCAACACCTGATCTTAGACTTCTCACCTCCAGAAATATGAGGAAAGAAATTTCTTTTGTTAAGATCCTCTTTCTGTGGTATTTGTTATAGTGGCCCTAGCAAGCTAAGACTGTGGCTTTTTTCACAAGATTTACACAATCTCCTGTGAAGATTGCTGAGGATCTACCACACTTAAAATAGCTTCAAGTATCCATTCTTCACATACAGCTGTATCACTATTTATGAGGACTTGTCTAGTAAACTGAAACTTTCATTTCTTGTTCAATAATAGTTTCTTTTTGTATGAATGAAATGAAATAAATTTTTTATCTTTGCTTTATATCTGTTTCTACCATATACTTTCCAGTCTCCTTCAGTTGAGCCTCTACTATTAAATGGTCAAATTAGATGACCTTTTTACAACTGTAGCTGTTTCTTTACATTTTCATTATAAGCACAGCTATGAATTCCTTGTCTTTTCTATAGATATGCTTTAGAAAACATTTTAAATTTACTTTTAATGACAATATAAGTTATGAATGCCTTGTTGCCAAAGATCACCAAGAGCACACTTTATGACAAAAAAAGATGAATTTATTGACTCATCAAAATGAAGAACACTATACAAGATAAGAAAACATGAGTCATCTTTGTAATAGGGTTACTTTCTTACTCCTTATAAAGGACCTGTACAATTTGTGCTTGTATTAGGTAATTTTGCAGTATGTTCAAGGAAGTATAAATTACATGCTTTCAGAAAATGGGGAAAACTCTACAGTTGGGAATCTTAGTGATTTTTACTTAGGAAGTGGAAAGAACAAAGTGAATTTAAAGCTGTAATTGGTAAAGAAGCAGAATTCACTACTATTTGTAAAGGAATGGGAGTCTTTGGTAAATGTTAGTTTGGACAATATTTTTGTTTGTGTCGCTGCTCAAACATGAAGTCATTTTATTTTTGCCTAGCTCAATCAGGGTTACACAGGTCTTTCCAATGGTCATATTCCATTAAATTATTCATGTTCAATGTAAAATTGTGACCTACCTGTGAATGCCAACCTGATAGGTAGGGGCTGATTTGCCCTCAAAATACTGTTCATTGAAAAAGAAAAAAACAACCCTTTAAGTCCTTAGAGTAAGGACTATCTTTACTGCCCTTTTTAAATCCAATGTTGTGCTTCCTGTGCTATTTTGTTCTTACTCATTTGTGGAACCCAGACCTAAAATGATGATGATGGTGATATGATAGGACAGTACATGCATATGAAATGGGATTGTCTGAGGGAAGATCAATGGCAGGGGGATGGGGAAAAGGAAAGGATGTTTGGGGTGAAAGGGATCAAAATACACTTAGGTATATATTTGAAGACAGCCTAATGAAACTTACCAAACACTATAGAAAAATGGAATAAGAGAGAGGGAAATGGGAATATAATAGAAGGGGTGGGAACTTGTTCAAAGAACACTGCATATGTGTATGGAATTACCACAATGAGAGTCCCTCATATTATCATTGTGTACTAATTCAAGCTATAATAAAATTATTTTTGAAGAAAACAATGTTCATAAATTCAAGATCAAATAGATTCACCACTTAAACTCCATCAGTTGGCTTTATCACATCTTTGAATTTCTTCAACATCTCAATTAAGAATCTAGCTTCTGGGGCCAGTATTACAATTCCAGATCTTCAGGAGGAGGAGATAGAAGGATCATGGTTCAAGGCCAGCCCAGGCAAAATCATAAGGTCTTATATGAAAAACAAACTAAAAGCAAAAGGAGTAGAGTGTGTGGCTCAAGTGGTAAAGTACTTACCTAGCAATCCTGAGGCACTGAGTTCAATCCCCAATACTGACAGAGGAAGAAGAGGAAAAAGGCATTCAATGTAACTATGTATTCTAACAATTCATACCTTTTTTATCTCTGGAATTATATTAACTCTACATTATTCCCTTAACAGTTGTATCCCTAACTTTATCCTGTTGATTTTTCTGAGAATTGAGCTTGTCATGTATTGAACATCATAATAATTATTTTTCTGTGTCTTATGTTTCTGTTTTATTTTGTTTTTGTCTTTTCATCTAATTTCTGACATTTCTCACTTAATTTTGAGTTATTTCTCATGAATTTAGTGGAATTTTGAAATCCTAAACAAAACTTTATGGTTATTTAATTGTGCCTTTTCCTAGTATCCTTTGGTATTTTTCAAATTTTATTTCCTGAATTACCTGTTTCTTAGTAAGTCCATTTTTTCTTTTCTTTTTTTTTTACAGTTAAATGTTTCTGATTTTCATATGTCTGGTGAGCCATGGTTTTCTGTTCTTACATTAGAAAGGACTGTGTAGATGGTGTGAAGTATCTGAAATTTTATATACCTTCTCTGCTTTTGTAGGGCAAGGTGATCTCCACTCAAGATTTTGTCCTGAGTGGAATTTCTAACAGATCAGATATTCTGTGTAAGGCAATGCAGGGACCTGTTTATGAAATGACAGGCTTTATTTTGGGGTGCACTGTGATAAATGAGCAGGGAGCTCTTTTTAGGGTATTGTCCTTCAAATTCCTGATTACAAAAGGCAGTGTAGTGGGATTCCAAAATCTCCACTAAATGTCCTAGAAGATTCTTTTGATTTCTTTAGAAATCTCAGGTTTCAGCAAAGAAATACAAAAAGTCTCATCAAAGAAATAGAAGATACAAAGAAATACCAATGGAAATTTTAGAATTTTAAGATATGATAATCAAAACAAAAAATATTGGATGGACTCAACAGCAGAATGGAGGAGACAAAGAATGAACCAGCAAACTAGAAGATAGAGCAATAGAAATTAGCTAATCTGAACAACTAGAAACCAACTACTCTGAATAACAGAGTGAAATTGAGTAAAACTTGAACACTAAAGTGTCAAGGAAAAAGGAGAAAGTGAGGTTGAAAAGAAATAATGGCTGAAAACCTCCTAAATTTGACAAAAGACATAAACTTGGAGAATAAAAAATCAAACAAGGACAAGGAGTGGAGTTACTCAGTGGTAGAGTAATCATCTGACATGTACAAGGCAGTTGGTTCAATCTCCAGCCCACAAAAAAAGCAAACAAATTCCAAAAAGGATAAACCCCCAGGAATTAGATACCTGGAGACATCATTGTTTAATATCTGAAAAAAAAAGGTAAAGAAAATATCTTCACAACATTGAGAAAGAAATGAAACCTTACCTATAGGACTGTAACAACTTGAATGATAGTAGATTTCTCATCAAAAACCACGGAGGTCAGGTAGTGGCACAATGTTTGTCAAGTGCTGAAAGAAAATAACTGTCAATCCAGGATCTTATTCCCAGTAGAAATGTCCTCAGGAAAAGAATGTGTTGGCAGTAGTCATACCCAAAAAGACTGCTAGAAGGAAGCACTCCAAACAGAAAGGAAACAATTTTTTAAAGGAAACTTAAGAGCATCATGAAAGAAGAAAGAAAGAAAGAGTAAAGAAAACAAACATGTGGGTAAATAAAATATACTTTCTGCAGCTCTTGAGTTCTTTAAATTATGTTGGATGGTCAGATCTAAAATTATAATACTGCCAGATGTGGTTCTAAACGTATGCAAAGAAAACACTTAAGACAATTGTATTATAAATGGAAGATGGCAAAGGGAGGTAAGTTATCCTCACTTTATTGACTGATAAAATGATGACATTAGTAAATATAAGCTATGGATCTATAATATAACACCTACACTAACCAGTAAAAAATGCTATACAAAGTGATACCCTAAAAAAACAGCAGATACATCAGCATGGAATTGTAAAAAAAAATTCTACTAACCCACAGGAAGTTAGGAAAAAAATAGTACCTCAGTGATACAGCATTTGCTTGGCATGCATGAGGTCCTGGGTTCAATTCCCACTATCATTAAAAAAGCAATAGAAAGAGAAAGACAGAATAAACAGAAAACAAAAAAAATGACAGACTTAAGCTCTAAGCTATCAGTAATTATGTTAAATATAAGTAGTTTGAACATACCAATTTAAAAAAAGATATTGGGAGAATGGGTTTAAGAAATCATGATACAACTATATATTGTCTACAAAAAAAGTTCAAAGACAATGTTATAGGCAGGTTGAAAGTTTAAAAATCAAAACAAGTAAACAGTGGTAAAAGTAAAGCAAGAGTAACTGTTTTGTTGTCAGATAACATCAGAGCTAAAAATATCACCTGAGACCCAGTAGGATGTTATAGAATGATAAAAGAAGAAAACACAGCAATCTAAATGTACATACACCAAGCAACAGATCTGCAAGATATGTAGAGCAAAAGCTAAAAGAACTGAAAGAAACGGACAAATGTACTATTATAGTTGGATATTTCAATGTCCCTCTCTCAAAAACTGATAGACAATGAAATAGGAAATCAGCAAAGATACATAGGAATTCAATACCAGCAACCCACAACATCTCATCCCTATTTATAGAACATCCCACCTACCAACACCAGAATACACATTTGTTTCAAATGCTAGCAGAACATTTACAAGATAGACCACAACCTAGGACATTAAACAAGCCTCAATCAATTTAAAATGAAATCATACAAGAGTGGGTTTTCCAACCATAATGGAATCAAACTAAGAATGTATAAAGGAAAGAGAAAAGGAAAATCTTTGAACATTTGAAAACTAAACAGCATATTTCTAAATAATCCAAAATCAGAGCTGGCAGAGTGGCTCAATTGGTAGAGTACCTGCCTAGTTAAACCTCCAGTACCACCAAAAAATGTGGGAAAAGTCAAATAGGGGGTCTCAAATGAAATTTAAAAATACATTGAACTGTATTGAAAACAAAGATACAAAATATCAAAATTTTGAGACATAGCTAAAGGAATGCCGAGAGGAAAATTCATAGCACCTGCCACTTTTCCATTTAAAACTTTTACCTCAAGAATCTAGAAAAAATGAGAAAAAAGCCAAGTCATACAGAAGGAAGGAAATAAAAAAGATAAAAGAAGTCAAGGAAATTCAAAGCAATGTAATAAAGTATATGTAACAAAGTACTGGTAATGTGAAAAAAATTTTATTTATCAATAAAATTGACAAACCTCTAGCACTGCTGACAAAACATTTTCTGACCCAACCACTTAAGATTTCAAATGAGTCCAAGCATAGAATCTTTTATAATTTTAACCTTTTGGCAGCATGTGTCCTATCAATTTGGTTTAAGTGATTGGTTATATAGCTCTATCTTTCCCATGGATTATTGTTTTTATTTACACATAACTAAATTTAAAAAGAGTCATAAGCATTTCATTTCATCCTTGAAGGTTAGTCTTTATCTTTCTCTCTTGATAAACTTGAAGGATTTTTTAAAAAGTTATAAATGAATTAAAGGAAAACAGTAATTGAAGTATAAAATGGAAATTAATCTGATCAGCTATGTAAAAATTGTAATTAAGTTTCATGAACTTTACAATGTTTATAATTTAAAGTTCTATTTCAGGACATTGGTAATAATCAGATACATTAACATTTGAATATCATTTTAATTTAGCGTGCATGAGCAAAAAGAGCATGGACATGATTTTTTTACACAAAGGTAAGATTAAGATTATTCACAATGAAAGATGGAAATGTATACATTAAAAGAGGTGTGGGTTACATGGATGAATTCATTTATTAAAATTATGATGTTTGGTGCATCTCAATTTATGTAAACATCACCTCAAGAGAACAGCTACACAAAAGCAAACACTGGTAGTGGTTTAAATAGTGGAAGGAAAATTGCAGATGAAATAACAAAATAGGATTATGAAACTAGTGATATGTACTTGGAAGTTTATTCTGTTTACTTTGTATGTGTTAGACAGTTTCCACAATGAAAAAAATTAACCAATTCCTTGTGAGAACATGTTTTTGAAGGTAACATCAATTCAACTCTACACAAGCAAATCAAATAAAAAGCAAAACAGAGCAAAGCAGAGGAGCATTGTCCTCCAAGAATCTAATGTCACCCACTTTCTATAAAAAAGGCAATTTCTTCACATACTCAATGGATATCTTTTTGGGAATACTGAGATATTATCTTCTCTTTGCCATAACTACAATGTTCTCAAAGGCCTGTCAGTGATCAAAATTGAGTTTGACACATACTACAATGTTGAAAAATTTTGTTTTAACATAAGTAATTTTATAGCAAGTTGTGTTTGAGGATACCTGGTAGCACTGCACTGGTAGTGAATAAAGAACTTTGGAAGACAAGTATGTCATTAAGCTAGAATCAGAACTCAGTTCCCACTGTGTTAGTCACACCATCACTGTGACAAAATACCTGAGAAAGCCACTTAAGGTAGGAAGGATTTATTTGGGGTCACAGTTTCAGTGGTTTCACTTCATCATGGGGGAAGGACATCCTGGAGAAGCTCACTTCACCTTGTCTAGGAAGCCCAGGGACAGAATGCCTATGTTAGTAGTCTCTTTCCTTTTCCCCCTTTTATTCCATTAGCTCCTAGCCTATGGGATTCTGCAGAATCTATTCAAGTCGGATTTTCCCCCATTAGTTAATGCTCTCTGGGAACACCCTCACAGATATACTTGGAAGTATGCCTTACTAATCTGCTAAGTGCTATACAATCAAGCTGACAGTCAAGATTAACTCACAACCATTCAGAAGGAACATTTAAAAGTGAGATGGAAGTAGCCTTGTTTCAGAGAATAGACCAAGCTCATCCAAATACTTTATGATTGTTGGTTTTACATCTTCATTTTCTTATTTACATCCTCAAGAAATAGTCCATACCTTGTAACATTCATGAAGTGAACCCCTGGAGGCTGGTCACAGTGATAGACTCTTTATCTCTGTTAGTCACAGTTTATATTTTATTTAGCTTTATGTTTTACCTAGACTTGAAATATTTTGAAAATATCCTAATTTTTAATAATTCATCAACTTGTCTATTATTTGAAGTGAATTTTCTTGGATTCAATTGACTTAACTCCTAAACAATTAATTTCATCATTAATTATATTTGCCATATTTTTGTGTTTGTGTATGTGCACTTACCCACAGGATACTTAGGGACATATGTTTTAAAATTTATCTGAGCAGAAATGGGTAAGACAGGAACAGATTACAGCCATAACGTTCCATCTCATGGTATTCACGCAAATGCAATTCACATTTCCACGTTCTTTTATTTGGTCTACATTTAAAGGACCTATGAGAGGATGGTAGTTTTTAATGTCTTTTTTCTGCATCACATTGTGCTCTTAAAATAGGTCAATGTACTTGGGCCTATATGAATTAATTTAAGAAGGAAAACGGACCCAAAAGTGGCTAGAAAAAAATGCACATGCCTCTTAAAACCATGACCAATTCTATCCATACAGAAGTAAAGTGAAATCCTAAAGTGCTTATGACAAATATTTGATTGGTCCTAGTCCTCTTCGAATTATTTAATTTGCTTAGATGCTTCTATCATAAGTACAACTTGGACTCAATTTCCCTCCAAATAGCCTAATTGTACTCTTTATTGTTCAGGTGTAACCACATAAAAAATAAGTCTGTGGTTCAGGCCATTAATAACCAACTTCAATGTTTTGCATAGTTTGTTGATGTGTTTTGGAAGCAAAAAATTAGTGTACTTCTTGGACTCATACAATTACATTGCCCATCAGAGATAAACTGCACCGATAAAGAATCACAATGTAGAGAGTGATTCTTAAATGTTAGTATTCATGAGAATCACTTAAGAAGAAAGATTGAAATGAGATTCCCCTTAGCACCACCAGGCAACTCGATTCATGATCTGGGGGATCAGAATAACTTAAAAACAAGAACAAAAACCACACACCAAAAATAAAAGTCCCGAGAAATTCCTTACACATTCAGTTTGAAAAACACTGACTCAACCCCAAGTCTTGGAAACGGTACTGATCTGAAAACATCTCATGAAGTTATTCATTTCAACGCGTGGTGGCGCTGCAGGCTAAGAGAATGAATATAAACTCTGCAGCTCCAGTTCACCAGAAACCCAAGGACTCCATTTCATTAGAAACCCAAGTAAAAAAACACAGAACAAATTTAAGCTAAGACAGAAGTATTCGAGAAGACTGTGGTCGCCAGACAAGTTGTGAGAACGAATTCAAAAATCAATAGCAAAGACATTTCGGAGAGATGATGGTGAGCTGGTGATTAGGAGCTGAAAAGGATTTTTCCTCTGGAATCAGACCTAACAACAGAGATGTCGCAAACAAAACAACAGCACAAGAACAGGCAAGTGGCTATCTTCATTATATGGATGATTTTGTGGGAGGTGGGTTCGGGACTGATTCAGTATTCCATTATGGAGGAGACAGAAAGTGGCACGTTTGTGGCCAGCTTGACAAAGGACCTGGGACTAAGGGTGGGAGAGCTGGCTGCTCGGAGTGCCAAGGTTGTTTTCAAGAGGAGCAGACAGCATTTGCAACTTGATCCACAGACCCAGGATTTGCTGCTCAATGAAAAACTGGACCGGGAGGAGCTGTGCGGTTCCACAGAACCCTGTGTGCTCCCTTTTCAGGTGTTACTGGAAAACCCCTTGCAGTTTTTTCAGGCTGCATTACAAGTCAGGGATATAAATGACCACGCCCCAGAGTTTCCTGCCAGAGAAATGCTCCTTAAAGTATCAGAAATTACTACTCCTGGAAAGGTGTTTCCTTTGAAAATGGCGCAGGATTTAGATGCTGGCAGCAACAGTCTTCAGAGCTACACACTCAGCTCCAACCCTCACTTCCATGTCCTCACCCGCAAACGCAGTGATGGCAAAAAGTTCCCAGAGCTAGTGCTGGACAAAGCACTGGACCGCGAGGAGCAGCCTCAACTCAGACTAACGCTCACCGCACTAGATGGCGGGTCTCCACCCAGATCAGGGACCACAGAGATTCAGGTAGTGGTCTTGGACAGCAATGACAATGCCCCTGAATTTGCTCAGCAACTCTATGAGGCTCAAGTCACTGAGAACAGCCCCCTGGGAGCGTTGATTATTACCATCTCAGCTAGAGATTTGGATGCAGGATCTTTTGGGGAGGTATCTTATGCCCTATTTCAAGACGATGATGTTAACAAACCCTTCGAAATAAACGCAATCACAGGAGAAATTCGACTGAGAGAAACTTTGGATTTCGAAGCATTTCAGTCTTATCACCTGAACGCTGAGGCCACAGATGGTGGGGGCCTAACTGGAAAATGCTCTTTAATCATCCAGGTCCTAGACGTGAATGACAACGCTCCTGAACTGACCTTGACTTCACTCGTTAGTCCCATCCCTGAAAATGTGCCAGGGATCATAGTGGTAGTTTTCAGTGTTTCCGATGCAGACTCTGGACAAAACCAACAGATTGTGTGTTCCATAGATGACAATCTCCCCTTTCAACTAAGACCATCCATGGAGAATTTCTACACTCTAGTAACAGATGGAGCGCTGGACAGAGAGAGCAGATCTCAATACAACATCACCATCACGGTTTCAGACATGGGGACTCCCAGGCTGCAAACGGAGCACAGCATAAGCGTGCAGGTGTCCGACGTGAACGACAACGCCCCGGCCTTCACGCACACCTCCTACACCCTGCGGGTGCGCGAGAACAACGCCCGGCCTGCACATAGGCAGCGTGAGCGCCACAGACAGGGACGCGGGCACCAACGCCCAGCTCACCTACTCGCTGCTGCCGCCCCCAGAGCCGCACCTGGCCCTCGCCTCGCTCGTGGCCATCGACGCGGACAGCGGGCAGCTGTTCGCCCTGAGGCCGCTGGACTACGAGGCCCTGCAGGCCTTGGAGTTCCGCGTGGGCGCCGCCGACCGCGGCTCGCCCGCGCTCAGCAGCCAGGCGCTCGTGCGCCTGCTGGTGCTGGACGCCAATGACAACTCGCCCTTCGTGCTGTACCCGATGCAGAACGCCTCTGCGCCCTGCACCGAGCTGCTGCCCAGGGCGGCCGAGCCGGGGTACCTGCTCACCAAGGTGGTGGCGGTGGACGGCGACTCGGGCCAGAACGCATGGCTGTCCTACCAGCTGCTCAAGGCCACGGAGCCCGGGCTCTTCAGCGTGTGGCCGCACAATGGCGAGGTGCGCACCGCCAGGCCGCTGAGCGAGCGCGACGCGCCCAAGCACAGGCTGCTGGTGCTGGTCAGGGACAATGGCGAGCCGCCGCTGTCTGCCAGCGTCACGCTGCACGTGCTGCTGGTGGATGGCTTCTCCCAGCCCTACCTGCCGCTGCCGGAAGCGGCGGCCGAGCAGGGGCGGGGCGACGCGCTCACCTTGCACCTGGTGGTGGCCTTGGCGTCGGTGTCGTCGCTCTTCCTCTTGTGTGTGCTGGTGTTCGTGGCGGTGCGGCTGTGCAGGAGGAGCAGGGCGGCCTCTCTGTCTGGCTGTGCGGTGCCCCAGGGCCACTTTCCGGGCCACCTGATGGACTTCAGTGGTGGGGGGACCCTGTCCCACAGTTACCAGTATGAGGTATGTCTGAAGGGAGACTCTGGGACTCGTGAATTCGACTTAAGTAATTCAGTTATTTCCAACTTCCCTCCTATGAAAACTGGGAGGGAAACGGAGGACAGTTCAACCCTTAGGAATAGCCTCTTACTCAACTAAGTATTAGCTTATTGTAGCACATTCTAGTGCTTAAGTTTAGAAGTATCCTTTAAATTTGCATGTTGTTGACGGTTCATTTCCTGCTTATTTTACTAAATCTTTTTAAGTGTGGAGAAGCAACACAGTGCCTCAAGAATGCTAGGCAAGCTCTCTACCACTGAGCATAATCGCCAGAACTTTCGTTAGTACTCTTGAGTTTGCAGTTTTTTAAAAGTCCGATGCTGGAGATACTTGTTCTTTTCTCTATTATGATTTATTGTTTCTTATTCTTGGCACTAGCCTGAATATGCGATTTAAATAAAAAGTAAAAATTTGAATAATTCAAAAGTTAGGAATCATCTCTCCTTTAAAGAAAAATCATCCAAAATTCTTAAGATTGTATTTCTGAAATTGATTATAGTCGTTTCACTATTGTATATAAGACTCGTTTCAAATGCGAATATTTAATATTATTTACTATTCCAACGTAAATTTTCTTTTGGGGTTACTACTTACAGTGTGTAAGTTTGAAGATAAGCGCTAAAAATGTCTAAGTGCTTAGGTATTCGTGTATCTTTTCAGTATACCATAATAGTCAACATATATTTTCTGTGACTATAGACTTTCCTAAACTGTCAACATACTAAATTACAATTTGTGAGCCTCATGTATGGACATGGTGGTCTTTTAACATCAATGCAATTACAAATGCTTAATAAACATTTGCTGAATTTTACTAAATTCCAGTAGTAAATTTTTAAAACACATTTTATTAATAAAAAATGCTAATATCTTCTCTGCAATAAAATGTCCTTTACAATGGGTGAAATTATTAAATATTATGGCTTAGTTAAATCCTCCTTTGCTTTTGTTCAAAACAGAAAACGTCCTTCCACTCACCCTATACAATACTATAGAACATAAAATACAGGAGAGCACATTTTATCTATCTTTGTCTAATAATTTGAGAGGTTGAATGTGTTACATTTTTCAAACTTCCCCTTTCTCTTTCAAAAGGTTCTATTTGCGATACTTACAAAGACTCAAATAAGGTATTAATGGCAGCTTATTAGGGAAATGTCAGATTTTCCCTTTTAGTGCTGTGTAAGCATCTATATCCATATTACCCACAAATCCACTTACATTAACAGTTTAACCCTTAATTAGTCTTATTTGTGTAGGTTAGAGTTGTGACATTTCATAAAAAGTCTAATTTCCATCAAAGGTAATTTATATTAAAGTGACAATTGAGTGGATATTTAATTTTATTTTTTCATTAAATTGGAACTAGATTTGGCTGTATTTTGGAGTCCAAATAGGAACCTTTCATAGATGTTTCCTAGTTGATTTAATGGATGTGGGTAACTCTTATTGTTTGGTATTCCTGGATATAGACCCTCTTTTTTTCAAATAGCATCTTCTTTTTTGGGAGGATTTGCTTTCACTATTCTCACTCCAACCTTGTGGCTTTAGTAGGATCTTCAGTGTTTTTCCGTTACCCCATCTCTATAGAACAAAGAATGTACACTGTGCTAGACCCCTCTTCAATACATGTAGGTCAAAACCCTTTTTTTACTTCACTGAGTTAATTTTCTAATACAGACATTGCCTGAATTCTAAGTTTATACTGATTTCAGATAAAATAAGTGACCATTACCTCTCAACCTCACTGACAACTGTACACAGTGAATTTATGAAGGAAAAAAGTACAAAGACTGTAGCCCAGAGACTGACAAAAAACCTCATCTTAATTTTTCTTTCATGAGTTATAAGCACATTGCCATTTGGGAGTAGAAACTGCATTTTCAAAAATCATATTTTTTCTAACAAATGAACAAGCCAATATTATAATAAAATTAAAATCTCCAAGAGCAAGAATTTTTGTGCCATATTTATATTACTATCTTCAGAAGCTATATGAATGTCTCCAGAGATAAATAATTGTTAAATAAATTAATTTACTTCAGCAGGGCTTTGTGTACTGAATTTCTATCTTTATGGGAAAGATGTATATACATATAAATTACATTTGCTCTCACAACATTTGTTAAGTACCTAAACAAGACTGTCAAACGGGTTGGGGAAAAGGAAGTGTATGGAATGCTATGACTTAAAAGAAGAACAAGCTATTTTAGCTATTACATTCTACTTTGAAATGAAAATTATCTGAAGTTGTAAAGTAGAACGCTTGGTGGCGCTGCAGGCTAAGAGTGAAAACTGCAGAAGCCGTGACTCCTTAAAAAACCGAGCTGTTTCTGGCAGTTTAAAAAGGAAGCAGGTTATGCTACCAGCTACCAGCTATCAGAAAGGCAAATATTCCCAAGTCAAGCAATGTAAAAAAAGAGACGAAGTCAAGATTATTGAATCCAGATACCTGAGTTGGCTACAAAGCAATTCTTTTGTGATTAATTACTGCATCTTTTGGACCGAAGGAACTATGAAGACACCACTCCCAAAAGCACTTCAGAAAAGGCAAGTGACCGCCATTGTTTTCTTGCTAATACTGTGGGAGGTGGGCAGTGAGACCATTAAGTATTCCATTCTAGAAGAGAGAGACAGCGGTTCTTTTGTTGGCAACCTAGCAAAAGATTTGGGGTTGGGCATAGAGGAGCTGGTAATGCGGGGCGCCCAGATATTTTCCAAGGGGAGCAAACAGCACCTGCAGCTCGAACAGAGGAGTGGGAATTTGCTCCTAAAAGAAAAATTGGACCGGGAGGAATTGTGTGGGGACACAGATCCATGCATACTGCCTTTCCAGGTGTTACTGAAAAACCCGGTGCAGTTTATTCAAGGTGAACTACAGCTCCAAGATGTAAATGACCATGCTCCAGAATTCTTAGAAAATGAAATCCTTCTTAAAATCGTGGAAAGCACCCCTCCAGGAGCCATGTTTCCTTTGAAAATAGCTCAAGATTTGGACGTAGGTAGCAACACAGTTCAGAACTACACGATAAGCACCAACTCCCATTTCCACCTTCTCACCCGCATTCACAGCGATGGCAGGAAATACCCTGAGTTGGTGCTTGACAGAGTGCTGGACCATGAGGAGCAGCCTGAGCTCAGATTAACACTAAGGGCACAGGATGGTGGGTCACCGCCCAAATCAGGAGCTTCCCAGGTTCTCATTGTGGTCTTGGATATCAATGACAATGCTCCTGAATTTGTTCAGGGGCTCTATGAAGTGAAGGTCCCAGAGAACAGCCCTATGGGTTCCCTTATCGTCACCGTGTCAGCTAGAGATTTAGATGCTGGGATTCACGGAGAGCTCAGCTACTCATTTTTCCAATCCTCAAGTCAAGTCAATCAGGCTTTTGAAATAAATAGAGGAACAGGAGAAATTAGATTAAAAAAACAGTTGGATTTTGAGGATATTCGATTATACCGCATGGAAATTCAGGCCACAGACGGTGGAGGTCTTTCTGGAAAATGCACTGTAGCTCTAGAAGTGATGGACATTAACGACAACGCCCCAGAATTGACCATGTCATCGCTTATCAGTGACATTCCAGAAAACTCCCAGGAAATTGTGGTCGCCATTTTTGGAATTTCAGACCCAGACTCTGCAGACAATGGGAAAATGGTGTGCTCCATCCAGGACAATCTCCCCTTCATACTGAAGCAATCTGTAGAAAATTTCTACACTCTAGTAACAGAGGGTCCACTAGACAGAGAGAGCACATCTCAGTACAACATCACCATCACGGTTTCAGACATGGGGACTCCCAGGCTGCAAACGGAGCACAGCATAAGCGTGCAGGTGTCCGACGTGAACGACAACGCCCCGGCCTTCACGCACACCTCCTACACCCTGCGGGTGCGCGAGAACAACGGCCCCGGCCTGCACATAGGCAGCGTGAGCGCCACAGACAGGGACGCGGGCACCAACGCCCAGCTCACCTACTCGCTGCTGCCGCCCCCAGAGCCGCACCTGGCCCTCGCCTCGCTCGTGGCCATCGACGCGGACAGCGGGCAGCTGTTCGCCCTGAGGCCGCTGGACTACGAGGCCCTGCAGGCCTTGGAGTTCCGCGTGGGCGCCGCCGACCGCGGCTCGCCCGCGCTCAGCAGCCAGGCGCTCGTGCGCCTGCTGGTGCTGGACGCCAATGACAACTCGCCCTTCGTGCTGTACCCGATGCAGAACGCCTCTGCGCCCTGCACCGAGCTGCTGCCCAGGGCGGCCGAGCCGGGGTACCTGCTCACCAAGGTGGTGGCGGTGGACGGCGACTCGGGTCAGAACGCATGGCTGTCCTACCAGCTGCTCAAGGCCACGGAGCCCGGGCTCTTCAGCGTGTGGCCGCACAATGGCGAGGTGCGCACCGCCAGGCCGCTGAGCGAGCGCGACGCGCCCAAGCACAGGCTGCTGGTGCTGGTCAGGGACAATGGCGAGCCGCCGCTGTCTGCCAGCGTCACGCTGCACGTGCTGCTGGTGGATGGCTTCTCCCAGCCCTACCTGCCGCTGCCGGAAGCGGCGGCCGAGCAGGGGCGGGGCGACGCGCTCACCTTGCACCTGGTGGTGGCCTTGGCGTCGGTGTCGTCGCTCTTCCTGTTGTGTGTGCTGGTGTTCGTGGCGGTGCGGCTGTGCAGGAGGAGCAGGGCGGCCTCTCTGTCTGGCTGTGCGGTGTCCCAGGGCCACTTTCCGGGCCACCTGATGGACTTCAGCGGTGCGGGGACCCTGTCCCACAGCTACCAGTATGAGGTTTGTCTGGCGGGAGGCACTAGGGCAAATAAGTTCAAATTTCTTAAACCCATACTCCCCAGTTTCTTGAGTGAAGGGGCTGATTGGAACCCCGAGGAAAATTCCAACTTCAGAAATAATTTTGGGGTCAATTAAGAATCTGACTTTGATTACATGTGATAATTTTATGGTATTCGCTGATGTGTCTATAAGTTCACAGCCCTTTCTGTCACAGCCCTTTTCATACTCACACGTTAGTAATTATTGTCATACTTATACCTATTTCAAACTGTTGAACCAGTTAACCTTTCTCTATTATCTTGCTAGCCATCATAAATGATGCACGTGCACATAATAGCAGTGAAACGTTTCCCAGTGTTTGTTTTTGTCATATTTTTGTAAGTCACAGATGTTTTCAGGTTCCTGATATTTGAGCTTGTTCACTGATATCTTATAATAGGTAAGCGAATTGTGTTACAAGCTTTCTGATCATTATCAGCATGAATCAAACTCTATTGTAAGTGATTGACTTTCAGCTTTAAAAATAATTTTCACTTATGGAAATATTTTGGTGATCTTGTAAATTCTTGCAATTTTGTTGCCTAGTTTTAAAGACACTATTGTCTTGATTCAGAGGAACCAGTATGTACTCTGATTGATGTTTCTAAATTGAATATTTTCTTTCAAAGTGATTTAATTAGATCATCTCCTCCTATTCTAAAAGTTTCAATTAGCTATGAAAGAAGATGAAAAATGGTAGATTTTCAACTGCTTTTCATAATAAATGGTTTTACTATGTAAATTGATTCTCATTCTTTTGAAATAGTATTTAGTCTCATGACTCACACATATGCAGTAAGTATAAAAAATAAGGCAAATGAGTATCATTTTTCCATCACTCAGAAAAATTTCATCAGGTCAACATTTTTGTGAAACATTTCTACTGGAGCCATAAGGTGTAGCTCAGAGAATTAACATATACTTAGCAGGCACAAGTCTCTGGGCTCAATCCCCAGTACTACAAAAACAAGCAAGCAAATAAACAAAATACTGCTATAAATGTTTATAAGAGTTATATTAGCAGATGTAAATAATTTTGTAAAATTGATCTAAAATAAACCAATAACTTCTAATTTAAACTATCAGATTGAATATAAGGCAACCTTGCTTAAATTTAAGTAAATAATCCCTGTAAATTTAAGAAATTGATTATGATGCATATTCAGCTATTAGCATCACTTAACTGGCCACTTAAAATCAGCAATAAATATTCATACACCTCCTCTATTCACCTTTTTGTATTATATCTATTTTACCTTGTCAATGCCACACTTATAATGCATTTTGAAAGGATAATTTCCACAATTGTTTCTATATTTTTTAATATAAGTTTAAAATGATACAATACTACATTTCTTCCTATTTTATTGAAGTCTGACTGCCTAGAACTAACCACTTTTATGTTTTCAACTATTTTTTATATTTATTTCCATCTAGATAATATGCTTTAAATTTTTTTCTCAAATTTCAGAGTTTTTGTTTTGCTTTGTTTATTGAGACAGAGTCTCAGGATATAACCCAGCCTGGCCTAGAATTGAAGCTCCTTCTGCCTCAGCCTCTCAAGTGCTGAGATTAGGAACTCAGCACTGGGTAAACTACCACACCCAGTTTCAAATTTCAGTTTTATATATTAACTGTGTGCTTCCTTCCTAAAAGGCACACATACTTATTTGCACATTTTCCTCCCCATCCTCCTACCTATCAATAACATAATTCTGTTTAATGTTTGTGCAATTGTCACCATATTGGTATTGCTTATACTTGAGTCTCAAAAGTAAAAAAGAAAACCTTCTTTCTTTTATCCTTAAGTTGATAATTGCCTCCTTTTCTCTTTTACTTATCTTCCTATGTATGTATTTTTATGTTATCCCCAACTTTTCCAACTCTACAGCTCTCACTTTGATGATTAGATTCATAAATGTTTCATTCTGTCATCTTGGAGCCATTCTAGAACAATCAAACCTCTTCCTCAGTTGCCATCTATACTTATTGTACAGCTGGCAGTGTGCTTTATCCATCATCATGAAATTATGTTTTGTTTTCCTCTTGTATTTAACTTAGAATTCTGTGGTTTATATCTGCCTCTTGTTCGGTTTATTTCCTTGAATTTCCAAAGAAAATTTGATCATAAGTGTATCAAAGGCTTGAATATCTCAAAAGTTCAGAGGTCAAAAAGTTAAGTATCTATTTGAAGATTCTATTGGGTGTGGAATTACAGGTTAGGAATTATTTGCAGGTAGTATTCTGAAGGCATTCCTCCTCTGTCTTCCAATCTTTAACATTCTGATACTTTTCTGAGAACCTTTGTTTTCCCTCTAAATCCTTGGTTCTTAGCCAGCATAATTTTGCCACCCAGCAAAATTTGTCCTTGTCTGCAAACATATTTGTCACAACTGAAGGATAGATATACTGCCTAACATTCTACAATGCATGTAAAGATTATTTGTCTCAAATGCTAATCGTGATTAAATCAAGAAACCTTACTCTAAATGAATTTAGGTTCCCATATTTGTCTGCAGTGCTCTAGAATTTCATTACTGTGTCATAGAATTTTGGCATTCATTGTTTAGCTACTCAATGAGATTCATCATTCTTGAGACATATTCAGACTAGAACAGGGTTGAGTGTGTTGTGTTTTTAAAATTATTTCCTCCACTCAGTGATCTTCATTTTCTTGTTACATAGCTTCTGTTAATTGTATTGTGAATGTGTGAATTGTGTATGAAATTTAATTTTTTCTGTTTTTTTAGGGGGAAGAGGGGTGGGTGCTTGTTTCTTGATTAGTTGGTTTGTATGTCGAATCATCCTTGCATCCCTGGATGACTCCTACTTGGTCATCGTGAATAATCCTTTCTAGGGGAAGTGCTGGGGATGGAGCCCAGGACCTCACACTCCTCAACAAGCATTTTACCATTAAGCTCTGCCTTCAGCCCTTTATGAATAATCTTTTTAATGTGGTGTTAGATTCCGTTTCCTAGTATTTTGCTAAAGATATTTGCATTTATGTTCATCAAGTGTATTGGCATATAGTTTCTCTTTTTTGTTCTATCCTTATTTGGGTTTTTCTACCAGAATAATGTTGACCTTGTAGAATGTGTTTGGAAGGATTCCCTCCTCTTTGGGTTTTTTTTAATAATTTAAGAATAATTGGTAATACTTCTTTAAATGTTTGGTAGAATTTGGTAGTGAAGCCATTTTTCCTGAGCTTTTCTTTGGTGGAAGATGTTTTATTTTTGATTCACTCTTGTTACTTCTTATTGGTCTGTTCAGTTTTTCTCTCAGAACTTGTCCATTTCTTCTAAATTATAAAATTTTGACACATGACACCCTCTAATGATGCTTGGTATTTCTGTGGTTTCGGTAGTAATGTCTCCCTTTTCATCTCTAATTTTTTATTTAAGTCTGATCTCTCTTTTTCTTAGTATAGCTAAGGCTTTGCCAATTTTATTTATCCTTTCAAAGAACCAGTTCTTTGTTTCATTGACATTTTATGTTAATTTTCAGTCTGTATTTCATTTATTTCTGCTCTGATCTTTATTATTTCTTTTCTTCTACTAATTTTGTTGTGGATGTTTTTGGAACAGGGTCTCATTATGTCACTCAGGCTGGTCTTGAACTCTCCATTCTTCTGCCCCTCCCTCACAAGTGCTGGAATTGCTGGTGTGTGCCACACCTCACTCTTTCTACTAAGACTAAGTTTGATTTATTCTTATTTTTCTAATTCTTTAAGATATAGTGACTGGTTGTTTATTTGAAATCTTATTAAGTTTTTTTATTAAACATAAATTTCTTTCAGTACAGCTTTTTCTGTATCTCATAGGTTTAGGTATGATGTGTCTTCATTTTCATTTGTTTGAATAGATTTTTAAATTTCTTTCTTGATTTCGTCCTTGATCCAGGGATTGCTCAAGAGTAAGTTGTTTAATATCTGATTTTTTTGAAACGGCATCTCACTATGCAGCTCATGCTGGCCTCAAACTTGAGAGCCTTCTGTCTCTACCTCCTGAGTTCTAGGGTACAGACGAGCACCATCGCTCCTGGCTTAACTTTTCTTAACTTTGTTCTGTTTACTATCCTTTGTCTTTATTTTTCTGAGTTCTGTAGTTCTTCTCAACCTGTATCTGCATCCTTCTGACTGATTTTCAAACTCTTTTTATAAATAGTTTTTATTATTTTGCTGGGTGCAAGTACATTATGGTAATTACAAAAGTTTTATAAATATCAAATATATAATACTTGATTTCACCCCCTCCACCATTCTTCTTTATCCTCCCCTTGCCATATTCCTCACAAATTTTGATATCATAATTCGACTTTCAAAAGACTCTTGTTCTCTGAATGTTTCTATAGCAGATTTTTCAGTTTTTAATTTTCAGTGAGATATAATTCATAAACAATTATAATTCACCTTTGAAAAGCAGAGTCCAATAGTTTTTAATATATTCAAAAGTTGTGCAATTATTAACACTCTGTAATTGTAGAACATTCTCACTATCCCTGAGAGAAACCTGGTACCCATTAGCAGACACACCTCATTCCCTCTTCCCTATAGTCCATTGCAACCACTAATCAACTCTTTGTCTTTGGATTTGCCTATTCTGGGCATTCTACATAAATAGAATCATATAATATGTACTCTGTGTGTCTGGCTTCTTTCATTTATAATAATACTTTCAAGGTTCATGTATGTTATTGCTTATATCATCCCTTTATTCTTTCTTATGGCTAATATTTCATTTTATAAACATACCATACTTTATTCATTGGTTAGTTCCACTTTTTGACTATTGTGAATAATGCTGCTATGAACACTCATGCACAAGATTTTGTGTGGACATATGTTTTCAGTTCTTTTGTGTCATATAGTGACTCTGTGAGAAGATGTGAGGTAATATCTTTACTGTGGTTGCTTGGAAGCTCCCAAGCGACTAATGATGTTGACCATCTTTTCATATGTTTACTGGCCATTTGACTCAGAGCCATCTTTTTTTGGAGCATTGTCTACTCAAATAGTTTACCAACTTTCTCGTTGAATTTTTATCTTTTATTTTATTTTAATTTTTTGGTGGGACTGGGATTTGAACTAAGGGTTTCAT